AATAAATACTATAGGGGCGCTGGGGTGGCTCAGTTGGTTAAGTGTCCAACTCGGTTTTGGCTCAGGTCATGATCTCACAGTTTGTGACTTCAAGCCCTGTGTTGGGCTCTGCACTGACACTGCAGTGCCTGCTTGAGATTCTCTCTCTCTCCCTCTCTCTCTGCTCCTCACCCACTTGTTCTCTCTCAAAATAAATAAATAAACTTAGAAAATAAATAAATACTATAAATAGACAAGAGCATTTTACCTACTTCCCAAGTTAGCCAAAAATTTTTATTTAGATCTCCTCTTCAGAAAAATAGCTAACTATCTCATATTTATGACTACCTTATAAATGGACATATACTGCATTATTTTCACCCTACTAATTCAATGATCATTTTGATTCAGTTTATTAATGATAAAACAATGCCAGTTTATAAAAGTTAAAAAAATTTCCAAGAATATAAAGACATTATTCTGCATTTTCTGGTATGAAATAATTCTCTAATATTCCTAAAAGTGAGGAATAAATAACATGGAAAAAGACCAAAACAATAACAAAAAAAGCAAAGATCAGTATGTAAAATTTTCCCCCAAATAACAACCCACTTGATTTAAAGAGAGATTACAACTTGAAAAAAAAAAAAAAATCACAAATTTCTAAGTCAATGGAAACACAGTATCAGAATACTAACTCTGATAGATGCTTAGACAACAAATAGCATTCTCACTCTCTCTTTTTACAATTTGAGAAGGCCCAGAGCCATAACTTATCCTAGACCAAACAATTACCTATGATCTGGGCTAGGACCAAAACTTGGGTCTCCCCAATTCCAGTCCAGTATTCTTTCCTCCATACCCTTACTATTCAAGAGCAAAGAAAGTAAAGAGTATAATAATGTGATCATTTCAAAGCAGTATGGCCAACATCTGTCACTGGCTAACCCAACATCCAGAGTCAAGCCTTTGCTTCCTCACAGGCATCCAACTGCAGAGGCTGGAAAGGTTTCTTTCCCAGCCTGCTTTGCAGCAAAAGGTAGCCAGCTCTTCTGCTGGCCAATGAGGCAGAAGCAGAATGCAGCTGAGGGCTTTCAGGAAAGTTTTGTTTTCCTGCGTAAGAGACAGATCTAGCTGACACCACCCTTCCCTTACTCCTTCCTGTGTAAAATAGAACACTCATTTTGCAACTATGCAGTGTCATCTCTGAGAACAAAGGGGCAATATATTAAGAATGGTGAACTTGAAAGGTACTAAAAGCCTGAGTCTCTGATGGCATCACTGAACAGCTAAACCAACACCATCCTCCAGACTGCTTATGAGAAAAAGCAAATCCCAATTTGTTAAAGCTATTGCCAGAGTTTCTCTTATTTAGAATCAAATACATTTCTTTTTTTTAATGTTTATTTTTTTGAGAGAGAGAGAGAGAGAGAGAGAGACAGCGTGAGTAGAGGGAGCGGCAGAGAGAGAGGGAGACACAGAATCTGAAGTAGGGTCCACGCTCTGAGCTGTCAGCACAGAGTCCAACTCCAGGATCAAATTCTCAACCCGCGAGATCATGACCTGAGCCGAAGTCCGATGTTTAACAGACTGAGCCACCCAGGGGCGCCCTAAATGCATTCCTAACTGATATAATCAGCATTTCCCAAGTATTTGGAATATAAATGAGTATTACTTGAAAAAAAAGGTTTCCAGTTAAATATGGGTCAAATATTAAGTAAAGTGAAATTAAGTAGGAAAATAATTTGGTGAAGATAGTAGAGGGCGCAACATAGTTTTCCTGTCTCTGAATCCCTGTAAAACACATACGGCAACCACGTAGCAAAACCAAAAATTCATGTATCAGTTACAACAAAACCAGGTGACAAGGTATCGCCATAAATCCAAAATGCAAGCAGACAGGGACAAACCATCCACAGTCAAAAGACCTGCATAGTATTAATATTTCTACAGGAGGAAGAAAGAACAATGAGGGTGGCATCTAAGGAGCTGGAGAATGGGAAAACCTCCAAACAGCCAATAAGCAGTCACTGCAAAGTGCAGAGGCCCAATTTGAGACTAGCAGCTGAACCTGACAAGAACTCTGTCCCCTCAGTTACCACGGCTCATGTAGAAAGAACCGAAACAGCTGGAGCAGTCCAGTGCCTATAGTCTCAGACCCAACATGCCAGGCTCCCTTTTAGGACAGAGCTTCATACTGAGAAAAAGCTGCGGGGAGTAGAATAGAAATTGAGGAGAGGGACAATCGAGAAGAGGAAAGAGAGGATCAGACCAAGTATTTTAGGAGAACAGAACCAGGATATCCTATAGAGCAAGACAGCATGATTTTTGTTAATACTACAAATGAGACAGCTCTGTGAAATCAGGAAAGTTAACTGACCTTGCCTTGCTCTAAAAGTTCAGAGGTCCGTGAGTTCGAGCCCCGCATCGGGCTCTGTGCTGACAGCTCAGAGCCTGGAGCCTGTTTCAGATTCTGTGTCTCCCTCTCTCTGACCCTCCCCCGTTAATGCTCTGTCTCTGTCTCAAAAATAAATAAACGTTAAAAAAAAAAATAAAAAAAAAATAAAAAAAGCAACAGGGGCTCCTGGGTGGCTCAGTCAGTTAAGCGTCCGACTCTTGGTTTCAAGCCCTGCACCAGGCTCTGTGCTCATTGTGCTGAGCCTGCTTCTGATTCTCTGTCTTCCCTTTCTGGCCCTCTCCCACTCTCATGCTCTCTCTCTCTCTCTCGCTCTCGCTCTCACTCTCTTGGTCTCAAAAATAAACGTTAAAAAAATAAGAAAAATAAAAAGAGCAACAAAGTATCTGAGGTCAAATCTCATGCAAGTGATTGTAAGAAAAAGGAAAAGGAGAATAACATGACTTTGGACAAAGAAAGTATGCCAGGAAGATGTGTACATAAAACAAAGCAAAAAACCAAAACCCTGTGACCTATTATGTCAGCATGAGCTAAGACTTTAAGAAAATGAATCCATACCTAGTCATATCATATTAAAACTTCGAAAAATAAGATAATGAATCTTCAAAGCAGCAATAATTAGACTAACAACTTACAAATGGAAGCCATAAGACAATGAAATATCTTCAAAATGCTGGAGGGAAAACTGGCAACCTAGATTTCTCTATGGAGTGAAATATCCTTCAAAAATGAAAGCGAAATAAAAAAAGTGAAAAAAAAAAAAGATTTCAGAGAACACCCACAGGCCAAATTTGCTTAAAGGAGTTTGAATCAAAAAATTTGGATGACGTTTCATATTAGTAAAGTGACAATGTCAGAAAAATGAAACGAAAGGTTGTTATAAAGGAAGAATAGAGAGGTTAAGAACCCACAACATTCCAGTTTAAAAAAAAAAAAATGCTTACATCTCAACGGCTGCCAATTCTTCCTCTGAAATATACCATACACTGGCCCCTTCTCTCCAACCCCACTACCTCTTGCATGTGTCCCTGATGCTGGTGTCTCCCCCTAGCAATCCATTCTGGGTACTGCAGTTAAAGCAATTTTAACCAAAACCTGTAGCAGGGGGCAGTGGCCCATACAGAGGGAAGGTGCGGCACAGGGACATTCTCTTGACTAAAATTTCACTCCCCTTGCCAATGCAACTTTTCCCCCAGGTCCTGTCCTAGATCATGTCAATGTGGTCAATCTCAACAGTGTCCTGAAGGAAATTGCTTATTTCTGGGCAAATACTCAGAATACCTTTTCACAGAGGGTCTTAGCTATCTTGGTTTATTTCCGATTGCTTCACACATGCATTCAAACTACTCTGCTAGGTCACCATTATATCAGATGCCTGCTGGACACTGGAGGGCAGCAGGAGAAGAATGTAACACATGCCATAACAAAGGTTACACATGAGCTTAATATAAAATAAAACCTAGAACAAACTCAGAGAAGTTTGGTGTTCTGAGCTAATACTACCTGGCTTTAGAGGGAAATACTCTTCCAAAAGTTACTCGAATCCACAAATATAAGAACTTTCTGGCCACGCATCTGAAAGAAACAAAGAAAGGATATACACATTTTAAAACTCCATTTGACTTATGTTATCAACTTTCTGGAAAGCAGAAGGAAACTAAGGTCCCAGGGGGACAGATGCTAGCATGAGTCAAAAGGTGAATCATAGCTGATCTTGTAGCAAATACAGCATAGGATGGGACAGACTTATAAAACCAAGATCAAGCAGTTTTTTTAAGTAGTCTCTACCTCCACTGTGGGGCTCGAATTCACAACCCTGAGATCAAGAGTTGCATGCTCTACCTACTGAGCCAGCCAGGCACCCCAAGCAGATTATTTTCAAAAAATATTTTCAATACAAAGTATTTTGTCAATGAAACTTCAGAGTTGAGGAAAAGGAAGTACATGATAATACTTTTATTCGTGTTTTTCTTATTGCCTAAAATACCTAGCAAATGCCCACTTACCTATCAAGGCTCATCTTCAATGCTTGCTCCTATGTGAAGCCTTCCTGGACCTTCCCCAAACCAAACATAGTGAATAGCTTTACACCCTCAAAACTCTGTTTCAACCCTTAGTATAATATAAAGTTATGACACCAAATCATAGTAATGGGCTCACAGGGTGCCTGTTGTTGGCTCTGGACTGTGAGCCCCTGAGAGCAGGGACCATGTCTTATAGCATCCCAAGTACCCAGCACAGTACCTGGTATACACAAAAAAAGTTGGCTTGTCTTGGCCAGTTAGTCTCCAGGTTTGGCTTGGAACACTCTTTTTCCTTCTGCCCTTTATCCAGCTTATTCTTACATTATCCTTTAGGACTTGACTTAAACCCCACTTCCCCTGGGAAGTTCCTGCTGGCTACACCAGTGGAACTGTTATAACCACGTGGCCCACAGTGCCACATCCTCTTATGGCACTGATCATGCTTTGTTGTGACTTGTTTAACAGTCTGTCAAGCCCACATGATTTTAAGCTTTCATGAGGTCATGGACCAGGAATGTCTTATTCATCTTGTATGCTCAGCATCTAGCCCACCACCTGGCTAAATAGGTACCTGACAAATCTTTTTTGTAGTTTTATGGTTTTATTAACCCAAATATGATGTGCACATAAGCTGTCTATTCATTTTTTTCGCCGTGCAGCCTGGCATTGGGATTGGTGACTCTGAGGGCCAGCTGGGCTGCTCTTTCCACAACGGCTTTGCAATTCTTGGAGAAGACACTGTGAGCAATTTCTGCACAGTAAGATTTACTGTACATCAGCAGCACTTCAAGCTCCTTGACACCGTGGACTAGGAACTTCTGGGAGCCACTGGGCAGCATGTGCTTTGTTTTCTTATTGCTCTTGTAACCAATTCTGGGCATCAAGATCTGGCCCTTGAATCTCCTGCACACCCTATTGTCAATGACTCTAGGTTTCTGCCAGTTGCACTTAATTTTGACATACTGGTCTAACTGGTGCCAGATAAACTTCTTGGTCCTCTTTTTAATGACCTTGGGCTTCACCAGAGGTCCGAGGGCAGCTATGATGCCAACAGGAAATGGCTGTCACAGGCAGCGCCAAGGAAGAGAAGGCCTGATAAATTTTTGTTAAATGAATAAATGAATGCCTTTGGTAGACCTAATCAAGAGTAGTGGAAAACACTAATTTCTCTCAGACTATGTTTAGACTTTTTCTGGAGACTCCTTATAGCTTAACACATCGTGGGGCCCAACTAGAGAATGTGAATGAAAACACAGAATGACAGATTTTAAGTCTGCAGATTCCTAAATGTCCTTTTCTTCTGAACATTCTGCCACAAAGAGCAGGCATCAAAGTCCCCACCTAAATAACAGATACGAAAAGAAGATCATTCCCTCATTTTAACCAAGAAGGGAGAACAATGGAAACATTATTGCAGGCAGATGACCACTCGCAAGCTCACCTGATGCGCAATTCTCGTAGCTGGTTCCTTCGGGTCCAACCATGTGAGGCATGATACTGCACTGGATGACCAGCACTAGGTAGCTCTCTCTGGATCCCAGAGAAGGGAGACGACTTCTTGTTGGCCAGTATCTTTGGAGGATAAGGTTTCTTAACTGCACCATCCCTAAAAGACCTTAAATTTGAGAAGTAACGGGGAAAAGGGAGAATCAAATTATCTCTGTATGTGATGCAAATCTCTTTTAATGCACAAGTGAAATTAAATAGATAAGCTCAATGAGACAGACTGATAAATATGGACAATAAGTAGCCCAATCTCAGATAGAAATACCTGCCATTCACAATGGTGTGTCAAACATCCCCAAGGCTACCCTAGGTTCAGTGATGATTAGAAAGAAGGACTCAGAGGGGGAACCTGAGTGGCTCAGTCAGTTAAGCGTCCGACTTCAGTCATGATCTCTCAGTTTGTGAATTCGAGCCCCGCATTGGGCTCTGTGCTGACAGCTCAGAGCCTGGAGCTTACTTTGGATTCTGTCTCCCTCTCTCTCTCTGGCTTCCCCCCATCACGCTCTGTCTCTCTCCTTCAAAGATTAACAAACATTAAAAAAAAAAGGGACTCAGTACTTGCATATAGTTATACTCATAGCTATGATTTATTACAGCAAGAGGACACAAAGCAAAATCAGAAAAGAGAAAAGGGGAATGGGGCAAAGGCTGCTAGAAATCAAATGCGTGCTTCCAAGAGTCCTCTGCCAGGGTAGTCACATAGGATACCCTTAATTCCCCCAGCATCGAACTGTGTGAACATGTGTGAAGTATTGTCTATCAGGGAAGCTTTTTAGAGACTCAATGCCCGAAGTTTTTACTGGGTGCTGGTCCTACAGGCACCCTCTACCGATCACATACCCAAATTCTAGACTCCTAGAAGGAGAGCAGGTATTCAGCATATACCACATTGTTTGCACAAACAGTTCAGGCACAGTTAACTATCCTTATCAGTTGGGGATTGGTGAGAACCCTCTTCAAATCTAAGTTCCTAGACACGTCAGGGGCCAACCTTATAAGCAGGACATTCTTTTTTTTCTTTTTTTTAAATGTTTATATTGTTTGGAGAGAGAAAGAGCACAGAGAGAGGGAGACAGTGGATCTGAAGTGGGCTCCACACTGACAGCAGGGAGCCTGATGTGAGACTTGAACTCCTGAACCACAAGATCATAACCTGAAGAGAAGTCAGACCCTCAACTGACTGAGTCACCCAGGCTCCCCTCTTTTATCTTACGTTTTTTTTTTAATATAGGACGTGAACTCACAACCCTGAGATCATGACCCGAGCTGAGATCAAGAGTCAGATGCTTAACTGACTGAGCCACCCAGGTACCCCTGCAAGCAGGACTTTCTTTTTTTTTTTTTTTTAATTTTTTTTTCAACGTTTATTTATTTTTGGGACAGAGAGAGACAGAGCATGAACGGGGGAGGGGCAGAGAGAGAGGGAGACACAGAATCGGAAACAGGCTCCAGGCTCTGAGCCATCAGCCCAGAGCCTGACGCGGGGCTCGAACTCACGGACCGCGAGGTCGTGACCTGGCTGAAGTCGGACGCTTAACCGACTGCGCCACCCAGGCGCCCCAGGACTTTCTAAGAATAGTAGTCTCCAGCCTGCAATGTTAATTCTTTTTTGCATAGATAGAAAACAAAAATAGAGAAGATCAAAAAGAAAAGTTAGTTCTTTAAAAACACTAATAAAATTGACAAATAGTCAATTAAGCTGGTCAAGAAGAGAGAGAAAAAGCCAAATAAATCAATATTAGGGGGAAAAAGGAAACATCATTACAGATCCTAAGAATATACTTGTAAACAACTTGATACAAATAATATGAAGATGCAGGTAAAATGGATAGACAGCTACAAAAAAAAAAGTTATCAAAACCACACAAGAAGTATAAAATATGAACAGTCCAATAACCATTAGCAACAATAAACAGTAATAAAAACCTTCCCACAAAGAAAACTCTAGGCCTAGACGATTTGTTGTCAAAATTTAAGGAAAAATTCACGCCAATCTCACATAAACTATTCTGAGAACTCTTTTTTAAAAAAGGAACACTACCCACCCAAAATCTATATAAAATTAGGTGGTTTTAGGAGACTAGCCATAACCTTAACACAAAACCTAACAAGGACATTTGAAGAAAGAAAAATTTATATCAATCTCATTAATGAATATATACATAAAAATCTAAACAAAATAGCAGCCAACTTAAGTCAGCAACATAGAAAAAGGATAATATAATATGAGGGAGGATTAATTCCAGAAACAGAGAAGGTTAATTAATATTAGAAAATTCAACCATGAAGGGGAGCCTGGCTGGCTCAGTGGGTGGAGAGTGCAACTCTTGCTCTCAGGGTTGTGAGGTCAAGCCCCACACTGGGTGTGGAGACTGCTTAAAAATAAAACCTTAAAAAAAAAGAAAAGAAAAGAAAAATCAACCATTAAGATAATCATATAGGGGACAATCATATAGGGTGGCTCAGTTGGTTAAGCATCCATCTCTTGGTTTCAGCTCAGGTCATGATCTCATGGCTCATGGTTCATGGTTCATGAGTTTGAGCCCTGTGTCAGTCTCTTTGGTGACAGCACATAGCCTGTTTGGGATCTCCCTCTCTCTCTGCCCCTCCACTGCTTGCACACATACTCTCCCTCTCAAAATAAATATTAAATAAACATTAAATAAAGATTTAAAAAAGAAAAGACAATCATATAGTCATTTCAATAGATGTAGAAAACAGAGTTGACTAAAAAATTTTCAATATCCATTCATGACAAAAATCTTACACTAGCCTTCATCTACTGAGGGCTATCTAAGAAAAACTTATGCAGATACCATACTTAAGGTGAAACACTGACAGCTTTCCCTTGGAGATTATGAATATGACAAGTAAGACCAATACCATTTCTGTACAACATTGTACTGGAGGTCCTGGCTGGCAGACTAAGGCACAAAAGAGAAACTATAGTCATAAAGATTAAAGAGAGGGCAATAAAGTGTCATTTTGCATATGACATGATTATGCATGTAGAAAACCCCAAAAAACCTACAGGTATATTACTAAAATTTATAAGAATCTATCAAGACTATTTGATACAAAGTCAATATCAAAAATGTATATACAGTCGATTCTTGTTACTTGCAGTATTCTATCAAGTCACCTCAAACGCTCCGTGACATGGGTCAGAAGAATCAATATTGTTAAAATATCTTTACTACCCAAAGCCATCTACAGATTCAATGCAATCCTTATGAAAATTCCTGTGGCATTTTTCACAGAAATAGAACAAATAATCCTAAAATGTGTATGGAACCAAGAAAGACCTTGTAGTCAAAGCAATCCTGAGAAAAAAGAACAAAGCTAGAGACCCCCTGGTCCCTGATTTCAAACTATATTACAAACCTATAGTTATCAAAACAGTATGGCATTGGCATAAAAACAGACATACAGAACAATGAAACAGAATAGAGAGCCCAGAAATAAACTCATGCATATATAGTCAATTAATTTATGACAAAGGAACCAAGAATATATACAGTGGAGGAAAGTTTCTTTAATAAATGATGTTGGGAAAACTGGACAGCTACATGCAAAAGAATAAAGCTGGACCACTATCTTACACCATACACAAAAATTTACTCAAAATGAATTAAAGATGTGAACATAAGACATGGAACTATAAAACTCCTAGAAGAAAACATAAATGGTAAGCTCCTTGACCCTGGTCTCAGTACTGATTTTTTTGGATTTGACACCAAAAGCAAAAGCAACAAAAGCAAAAATCAACACATGGGACTAAATCAAACTAAAAACCTTCTTCACAGCAACTGAAATAATCAAAATGCAAAAACAATCTACTGAATGAAAAAAAATATTTGCAAATCATATGTCTGATAAGGGGTTAATACCCAAAGTATATAAAGAACTCCTACAACTCAACAGCAAAAAATAAAAATAAAAAAACAAAACAATCCAATTTACAAATGGGTAGATGTGGGGAAACAGGTTCAAGAATTCCTTATACTTACATAAATGAGTTAAAAAAGCTTAAGGCTGAAAGTCGCCACCACAGGGTGAAAGTGCCCAAGGTTAGTTAGCAAGATAGTATAATGGGATCACAAGTAACTCGTTATAGTAAACTACTTTCCATCTGGCACCAATATACTATTGTGCTCTGATCACAAATGCCACTTGCCACCCAGGCCCTTGCTTTTTACACACACAAGTTAATGATTACTACCTGACTATTTTCTTCACGTCACCACATGTGTAAGATCATGAGAGCTCAATAAATACAGAGACAAAATCCCATTCGGGGCTCTTGTCTCCTCCCAGACATTAGCCTTTCTCTTATTCAATTCTGCATCCACTCTCTTGCTGGACAAGAGAGAACTCCAGACTCATAGTCTGCAACAGGCAGAGAATCTCAATAGACATGTGTCCAAAGAAGACATGCAAATGGTGGACAGGTACATGAAAAGATGCTCAACATACCTAATCATCAGGGTAATGCACACCAAAACCACAATGAGTGGTGCCTGGGTGGTTCAGTATGTTAAGTGATTGACTCTTAGTT